CGTAAAAATTCTCTAATTAGTCTGGAAACGGGGGACCTAATTCTTGCATTCTGTGAAAACGGGTAAGATTAGCTATAATGTAATTATCTTAATCTTCACTATCGTTACTTTTTGCCCAGCGAAGCGGGTCCTTGCAGCTAGATTCTAGATTACTTAGAAAAACAGTCTTTTATTTTATATAAAAAAAACTATATTACATACAAATAAAAACCCAGCGAAGCGGGTCCTTGCAGCTAGTAATATTATAAAAATTCTGTTCTCTAGTGTAGTTTTTCCATTATAACAACACTTAATTTAATGATGTGTAACCAGTCAGTCAGGTTACACTGACTCATAGTGCCACCAAACTCCTTGCTATAATCCTTATAAAGAAATCTATTGTTTGATCAACCAATATAACTGTAAATATTGGTATCATTGATTCATAATTAGCTAAAATGTTCGTTTTTATTTGATTGGGTAAGGTCCAGGATACTGTCCAAACACTCACTCTAACCTCCTCCTAATAATATTTAAAATAACTTTATTAACTTTTTAATTGTGGAAATTATGAATAACTTCAAACTTTGAAATAATAACTGTCATGAAGAGATATGCACTGTCTGATTGAGAGTTCCAAAATCAACAAATATCTCCAACTATGATTGAATTCTGTATCAAATTAATTGTCAATATTGATCTCAAAACCAAGAAAGTCTCTAATTTCACTTAGAAAAATGCCAAAGCTCTCCTACTACACCACAATAAGTTAGAACAGTGAATAGAGTGGCCAACTAATTTTGTCTGTTTTTATCATGCCAGTCAACAGACTTTTTGCCTGAACATATAGAATTTTTCTTACTGAGGAACTGCTTGTACAATGTTCTGGTGCATTCTGGCTGAAAAATAGCCCTGATAGTAATCGGGCATTCTCAAATTTAACTTGCACAACATTATCAATGGCAAACAAAGCTAATGCAGTAGTGGAAAGACCCTTCTGAATTGTGTATTTATGCTCCTTGATCCTCATGTTTAGACCATGAGCATTAGCTCCAATATATTCACATAAACAGTTCACCCTATGAATGAAGATCAAGGGAGCATAAATAAACAATTCAGAAGGGTCTTTCCACTACCGCATTAGCTTCATTCACCATTGATAACGTCATTGCAACTTAAATTTGAGGATGCCCAATTACTACAACACAGTGATGACCTGGCCAAACTGAAATATCTTGAAAGATTAGAAATATTCAAAACATTTAAAAGAGGGATGGCAATTAATTTTAAAGAAATGGACTCACTTGCAATCATGTGGAGGGCATGCTTTGGCTTCCAAACTTAATTTAAGACTTATTGTAATTTTATATTTTGTATAGACTGTGTATTTTTATAATTGTTATCCAGTTAGAAGAGCCTTGTTAAAATGCAA